CCCTCTCTAGTCAAATTAAAATAAATGAATAAATAAGTAGTTAAATAAAGCAATTCTTTCTATAAAAGTAAGTAAATACAACCCAAAAATAATGCACAATCATCACCCCCAAAAAACTACTATGCGGGGCTGGCAGGTGGCATAGTGGTTAAGGGTGCTGGACTCCCACATGGCCAACCACAGTTCAAGTTCTGAACCTGGTGGCTTGCTTTCTCACTTTCTCTCTCAACAAACTGGAAAATAATAATAATAAATAAAATTAAATTAAATAATTCTTTAAAAAAAAAACCCTACCATGCATCTTTTAAGTGACTCTTGAACATGAGAAACAACCCTAATTGTACAGAAATCCAAAGAGCCTCACACATACGAAAGTACACAAATAGATAAGAGTTACTCTGACTCTGAGGGAAAAAGAAACCACAGAAAAAACATCCAAAGTTCTAAGATTGTTAGAATGAAAATAAAAGTTTAAAAAAACAAAAAGACAAAGCTATCATAACAATATACCATTCAGGGTATCCATACAAGATGAGAGAAAAAAAATCCATAAGTATAGCTGAATGAGATCACATTTTAATGTGTACGTAGAATATAATTAATATAATTATATATTAACATAACTAATCTAATTGATGAAGACGACAAGATACCTTCAGAACTTGAAGGTCACCCTGTGATATTAGACTAAGAAAAATTCAAGTTAATGAATTAATATAAATAAATTCAGCCATTTATAAAAGTAACGGACTGAACAGACTAAGAAATATCCAAAGGCTATCAGGTGATTGGAAAGTTAAGACTCTGAAATGCCTAACTGATGTACTATGGAGGCCAAGGTATATTTCAATCAAATGTACTGAGTGGAAGGCCAACTTATAAAATATTCCAAGTACAAGGCATGTTTCATTTTGGTATTGGTGGACTTGTCAGTATGAATATATTCCCTCTCAAGACTATCCATTTCTTTTGATCCAATCCCATGTTCACCAAAAAACCCTATCATTTTAAATTGGTTTATCACATGTGCTCTGATTTATAGAAGGTAGTAGTTTGTTTTCAAAAGGTATAATCCCGCCTTTTGGCCAAAACCGCCATCTTCCAGTAATTAACCAAAATGAACACAAAGGGA